TTTGATTTTATAATATTCTTAGATTTATTTCTAGCTCTTCTTGAATTGCTCTCTTTTTGTTGTTCTTATCCACTATACACGATGATTAATTGACTCCAGTGCTCAACCGTATTCATTCTCAACCATATCAACAATTTGAAATTGGTTAAAAAGATAAGATGTCCTCTTTTAGCTGCGTGATTTCCATTGTAAGATGTTTTAATATTTATTATTCTGGAAAACTGTGTTTTATGTGCCTGGGCTGTGTGTGGGGGGGGAATGAAAATGGAGAATAATCATAATTTTGAATTAGTGTACAAGGTAACCCACTCATGCTGCAAGAATGAACTTCTCATTTCAAACTGAGCTTTTGGGTAATCATTTTACCACAAATGGTTGTGGTTATCAGAGAGCATAGTGCAAGTTTAATTTATAAGTCTTAATATAACTCTGTCTTTAATGTACTGGCTGCTTACTCGGACAGATGAAATGGGATCCTTGACTGTTTCCTACTGTCGTTTAAGATCTCGGAAATGACTGAGTGTTTTAAAGGGGTGTAACTCCGTCACAGGAATATTCCTTCACCCTTGGAACTCTAAAGCAGTCTATTTTCGGTTTTAAATGAAATTTTCTCTGTACACATAGGACTGTGTTTCTTGTATCATCTAAATATTCGCATAAGGCCTGAAAAGTGGGAGTATAGCTAAAGTCCTCCAGGCACAGTCAGATCAACTACTAAACCGGCTGTGTTTTGATTCTTCGGAAAGATATTCAGACTGGTAAGTGAAAATAATCAAGGAGCTGTAATTAGATTGATCTAATGTATCTGCTGGCAGAATGCTTCTAGAGCTATATGTTTGTGCTTTTGTGTTCTAAAAGCATCCTGCTAAGACACCAGTGGTCAGGTAGAGTACATGGCCACCTGCCTCTTTTTCTAAAATGACCATAGAATTGCTTTCCAGAAAAAATGTTTTTACTTTCTGATAATGGGCAGAAGCTCAAAGATGCCTTTTGAGATGACATTCTGGAGCTGTCTTTGAATGTTACAGCTGGAACTGATGCCAGCCATCCGCATTTGCTTTTCATATTGCGTTGTGTTTCTTGCCCGTTTCCATTTCCCCTTATGTGGTGCTATTGCTTTTGTTGTTCTGAAATCGAAAGTACTTTGAAACAGTTAATGTTTATGTACATAATTCGTATGCTCTGGTTGTGCAGCTGTGATATACGTCATTAAAAAAAAATCATCAGTCGAAAAGCCTGCCCTGGGACTTGTAGGTGTGAAGATAACACGGAGACTTGTGCTTAGCACAAGGGCCTCCAGTCCTGCTCTTGAAGAATGCAGGTTTTTTTTGTAACTCCACTCTTACTGACCTGAAGTAGCTCATTATTGGCTTATCTGGACCTTTTTAACAAGTGCTCGTGGCTCTTCAGAAGTTGGTTATTTAAAGAAACCTAGAAATTCTGTAGAGTTGCCAGCTCACTGGGACAAGGATAGCACAGTTCTGCTTCAGTGCCTTGACAGTCCTCCCTGCTGATCTTCAAAGGGCTCAGAAACATCACAGTTTTGACATTTAAATCACTGATCAGTCTTTTATTTTGTGTTCTAGCTGATGACTTTATAACGCCAGAGTGCAAATATCAAATTGTCATTTTACATGTGTTTTTAAAATGAGGAAGGCAACACAGAATATTCCATTTATATTCAGTCACCAAGTCAACATTTATTAAAATGTGGTGAGTGTTAGCTAACCTTAAAATGATATACTGAAAATCTCTAAATGGATGAAAATGGATTGTGTTAAGTCACAAAACTAGGAAATACTTCAAATGTTATGATGGTAGATAACTACTTTAGTTCTAGTTGGATATATGGGACAAAGATCTGTTTTCTTGAAAAATTCTTCATTTTGTGTTTATAAATGTATTTCTATGTACCCTGCCATTCTGTTTAATAGAAGATGTGAATATACTGGTTACCTTACAGTGTTTAACAGGTGTCTGTAATTCATATTAAGTGACCATAAAAAAGTGTGGCATCAATTCTTCTGTGACAAATGGTGAATCTTTATCAAAGCACATTTGTTCAATGAGGATAGTTTACAGTGTGACACTTTGCATACATTGCTTCACAGTGGCTTTTAATACTGACATAAAGAGTAATCTAACTATTGTATGGTTACAATTTTTTTGATCATTATAAATAGCATAATGAAACATTGTGTATTAGCTTAAAAAGGTGTATATACAGTAGTCTTATTAATTTGCTCTCTTTTTGTATTCAAATGCATGTTGAGCTTATAGAAATTTGAATATTTTTATGCGTTGCATTTATTGAAACTATATTGTTGATAAATAATATTTTTTGTTGATTTTTTTTTATCAGGATGTTTATTGTTCGATATAGATATTCTTTTTAATGTGATTGTAATTTGATCAAAATGTAGTATATTTAAGTGTGATTAAGTACTGACCAAAGCCTTCACCTAGGATGTATACAATAATTCAGATATTCTTAATGGTTTTGGAAAGAATAGCTTTAACTGTTAAGCAAATTAATTCCAAAAACAGTTATTCTTGTTCTTAAATATTTACTGTTTGGTTATAGGTGAATATAATATATGCTGTCAGTATTTTAAAGCATAAGCTGATATTTCTAAAGTGCATCCTGAGCTAGCCAATTTTTTTTGTAATGTGCTTCTGTAATGTGGTGCCCTATTGCTTGCTATTGTCAAAACAGTAGTTCTTGTTTTTAAGAACTGTTCCACAGATGCACACTTTGGATATTTGCTTATAAGTGTTTTGCTATGCAGCAGAGTGCATATCAATTTGTACCACCAGCAGATCAGTAAACATGTAAAAGTGTGATTTATACTCTTTACTGTATATGTATACAGTGTGTACAGCAGCAATTGTTCTGTGTGCTACGAACAGGCAATTGATAGGGATAGCGGTTTTTGCAGGGTTACATTTTAGGACAATGACGAAAGAACAAAAAGACTAAACAACTATTGTAAATGTATCACAACAACTCATGGTTTCTAGTGCTGAAAAACTGTAAGAAGAATGCTGCTTTATGCTTAAATTGATCAGCAAAATCTTCATGCACTATTGTGAAACTTTTAAAATGTTTTTAAAATTGTGGACACTTCATGTTCATGTCTACCAGTTAATTAAATTTCTGCATATGCTTTTTTGTTTCTATCCTAAATGTGAAAACAATGCAGTGTTTATATTACTTCTTCACAGATGAGGGCCAAAGTGTCTTAAGGTATTAGAAGGTAATAGAATCAACAGATGCTGATACATCTGTTTTCCGTCTTTTAAGTTGATGTGATTAGAGTGGAGTCAGCACTAAAGCTATGAGTTCTTTGAATTCCATTTGTATTAGTTTTGCTGTAGACTGTTCTAATACCTGTCATGAATTAAAGGGCATATTAAAAACAAATCTGAAGAAAAGGTGGTTTGTTTTTCTCCTTTCCAAGTTGGGAAAAACGCAGCCGTGTGTTATACTTGCAACTGAATATGAAATGTGTCTGTCTTTTAATCATCACTAAGGCCACATTTGGTAAAAGTATCATCCATCCATTTTCTACATCACTTCAGTGGTCCAGTATAGGGTCGTTGAAGAAGCCAGAGTCTAACTTGGCAAGCAAGAGGTGAAAGGCTGGATACACGCTGGGTGGGACGCCAGGCGATCACAGGGCACACACAGACACAAGCACGCACGCACCTACTCACAATGGGGCCAGTTTTCCCAGAACCCAGTTACCTTACCAGCACGTCTTTGGGCTCTGGGTGAAGGAACCTTTGCACCCACAGGAAAGCCACATGAACATGGGGAGAACATACACACTCCATGCAGACTGAGCCTAATTCTAATTCTAATTCTAATTCTGATGCTAATTACTGTGCCTTCATGCCACCCACTCTAGAAGCAATGCACCATTAACACCAGTAAAAGTCTGTGATGCCTACAATAATCTCCCTTGTTTCTAAATCTTTAAATTGCTGAAGGGTTTGTCTTAACATTTTACAGTGTCTCCGGAGAATACTGTATTATAAATTAAGTCTACAGCCATTGCCTGTATGGTGAGATGGGAGTTTCAGGAGTTAAAGGATTAAACCAAAGAGGCTAAAGAGATCGGGTAGCGTGCATGTCTTCAAGTCGTATGCACCGGACTTTAGACATATTAATTTTGCACTCTGTCGGGTCACTGGGTGGGTGATCATACCGTGTACGATTTAACCCACATTAATGAAACTTGCGTCGGATCCCAAACCTATATGATCTAGAACCATTCCTAGATATTGGGGAACACTAGGAAGAGCAGTCTGCAATGATGCCTGTGACACACTCTTTGGGTCACAGAGTGAGGGATCTTTTCGATACCAGGGAAATAAATCAATAATAACAATAACGTTGACATTCCCCCTTAGATCAACCTCACTCAGTGCTCTGTGGCATTTCGAGGGCAAGGGGACTCAACCAGATCCCTTCGTCTCAGACAGGGATAGTCTGCCTCTACAGAAGAAAGACAAGGTAAATGAAAATACAAGAGAAAAATTGTTCATACATTTATCCCTCTCAGATCAAATGTTTGCAATACATAATTGAGAATACAAGAGGCAAGATGTGGACTTTATCTGTGTGGAATCTGATGGTAACATCCCCTTTGTTTTCTTCTGGAAAATCCAGCTTGGTTTCCCTTTCACTAATTTTACCAAAATGAGATTTAGGCAGCTGTGAGGCTAATGTTGAGGAATTATCTGTAGAAAAAACAGTATACTCTCTAATATACCAAGACTTAAAGCAAGAAACCACTCTAATCTGGCTAGAAACTGCTTCTGAGGCATCTGGTTTTCTAACAGTATGATGTTACAATGTCACTGGGATGTGCATGAGAGTCCATCAGTAGCAGTG